CTACTAGCTAGTAGCCACTATGCTATCTCTCTCCATTCCGAATGGTGAGAGTGAGGTGATACGATAAAAGAGCTGATATCTTTATGATAACGACGAGTGGAAATTCGTACAAACATGCGTTTTCTTCATTGCATGCATGTACAAGTTGGGGTCGATATGGAATCCTATTTAGGGCATTTTCGGCTGTTTTTCTGCTGCTTTTCTCCGCTAATCAGATACCTAGCCCTTTTTCGTTCCTATGTGGGTTCCGTTACCCACAATCTGTGGTCGCGGGCTTTGCCTTTAAGCTACATCTCAGTGGTAATTAAGGTGCTTCTCCGCAGTCCTGGTCACGGCGAAAATTTCTGAGATACCATGAGTCACACTCTGACCAAGCGCACCGAGGGTTTGGCTGAGGCTTTTCTTCTTTGTTCACAATGGAAGGACTTTTGTGAGACATTGTGTGTGGCAATGAGAGTTGGGTTCCTTGCGTAAACCAAGCACATATCTTTCAGAGAGTAAAATCGCGTGCTCAACCAAAAGCAGAAGTGCATGGAAAAGAGGTTCCAAAGAGTTATTGGTGGGACTTTGATGCTATGTCGCTGTGCTAGCACAGACGTACCGGCACAGTCTACCCTAGTAAATTCGGAACACGGATGACGACTTCATTCAGAAACACTCAATTCCTTTCTACTTCTGGACAGTGCGAAGTTCGCATGTGGCGATGAGGCTACTCCAAATGTTTATGGATCTCGATGGCAGAGTGTTACCTTATTCATCGAACTCAGCAGCCTCTAACTACTACCTAGTTTAGTTCTTAGCAACCTTTAAGAAGCGAAAGAAAACCTGAAAATCAAGGTTTACTCAAGATGGAAGGCCTACCTTCTCTTTTCATCGTAGCTGCCGTAGTTGTACAAGAGTGAAATACAGAAGCTGTGCGAAAGGTGGGCACTAGTCTTAGTTATTATTGGTGATTACCTTGTAGAGTGAAGGTGTCGCAGGACTTTCTCTCCAACCTAATATAATAAAGATTTTCCAGTTGTCTGTCGTTATCAGTGCATGCCAAACATAGATTGGATTCCCCCGGAATTCCCCCTATGCGCCAATATTATGGTCAAGGTTACCCGTCAAGAGAAAGAATGGCAAAATAATGAGAACTGATGTATGGGGCTCTTCAAGTATGAATCAATACTAAAAGCAACAATAACGCATTTATTTAGGATTATGTCGAGGCTCTCGATCTATGTTTAACTACTGTATTCTACTCGTTATCGGTATTATTTTCTTGTTCCGGTTCTCTCTGGCTCTTTTGTTGCCCTTCTTCGTCTTTGCTTTGCTCTAAAATTCGGGTCGCCACAGCTGCAACGACCGCTGCACCAATACCAGTACCATCTTCGGACAACATCAGTTTATACTGAAACGAAAACAAATGACCACATGTGGAGATAGTACACCCAGAAACACTTCGGTTATCCAGCAAGAACGAGTACGACCGCATGGACTGAAGTTTCAATCAATCAGCCGAAAGTTCTTGGATTTCAGGCCAAAATGTGTGGTCCTCTATGCTTGAATCGTATGCTGCTCTGCATGAGGTCATCAGAGTCTTCCTTTTCCTTGCAGTTCGGAAGTTCGAATACACGATTCCGGGTATGTTGCTCACTTATTATTATGGAGGCTTCTCTAGCGGCTAAGCAATGATTACTGGGTTTGCGTGGAAATCATGTGTGTGTAGAGGGACCACCCAAGAGTCTCTCTTGATGGGCTTTCGTTTCTTCACGTTGGTCTCTCTACCACACTCGCCGGCCATCGATCTCTGCTGTTTTTTTAGCATCATTTGTACTTGTTCCTATTCAACTACCCAAGATTAAAGGCACGGGGTACGTAGTAAAATAATAGCAGGGATGCTATACACTGGTGGAATGGCGAATTAAGCGAACGTAATTAGTCGGGTGCCCACAAAAAGGGCTTTGTTCTACATGGCTCAGAAAGCAATTCTGGACGAATTGCAGCTGGCATCGTTGGCTTGATGGTTGGGCGTGTCAGGCAGAATGAGTGTGACAGCCTGTCAAAGCCGTTCCCCGCCTGAAGCGCGCATGCGACAAAAAGTGGTAGAAAACGAGTAATACGAACGATATGATACAGTCATATCATTTGCTCGCTTTAACAACTGGTGGAGAACGGGTTTGGCACCGCGCCAAACTCATCCCGCCTGACACGCCCAATCATCCGCAACGAACTACACTATAGATATATGCGTACATGCATGCAGCCGTATCTACCGTAGCGATTAATGGTTTAATGCCAACGGAAAACTCGTCCAAGTCGTGTAGGACAAAGGATTTTTTCTGCAGATTTTCAAACGTTCCACTTCGTTTTTTCGCCTTTTTCCCCACTACATAACACCCCTGCCACCATCTGAGACTGGAACCCAATTGTTGTGCCTTACGCCTTTGAAAGGAAGTGCATAGAATCTTTTACCCTTAGATTCTCATCTATGAGTTCAGCTATTTTGTCGTCGAGCAGTTGTGGAAATTTTGGATGAAATCGGTAGACTGAGCCGTCAATTCCAACCGTCACCAATGGACGTTCCATTCTATTAATGAGTGTTGCTATACCAGCTGCTAACAGATGTGCTGCCCTGAAAACTCTCAGTAAGAACTGCTTGTCATTTTCGAATTTAATTCCAGCAATTTTTTTACATTTATTTCACTGTCACACAGTGGTGCAGCATGTCGGGGGACAAAATTCACGGAAATGGCCCTGCCTCTGTGAGCGAGCAGCTTTGACATCAGTGCAGAAATGTTCACATCACGCAGAGAATACATGGTGGACGCATCATTTCGTATGTTTCAGTGCTCAGCTAACACCCGACTTTTCCCTATCTATACACATGGTCAACGCTACTCAATCAGTAGCATCATACCTGCTATTCTCTGCAGTGCTGCCGTCTATGGAGTCGCTGTAAGGAGCGCTGATCAAGTGCCCTAGCTCCTACACGTTAGCTTATTGGGGTAGGTGCGCGTACTACTGACATGTGCTGCTGGCACGGAAGTTTTGCACGGAATTTTATTGTGTGGCTGAAAATTGCGACGTGAGGAGTGTCGTCCCTTCGAGGTTGGCACAGCGGTCCGTTAGTACAGAATTTCGCAGTTGCGTCCCACTGGGCGCAACCACAGCAAGCTAACAGCAGTCGCTGCCTTGTTAAGCGCACTAGGAATTCTGTTGAATACTGCCAAGGGCTAGCATACTTAAAATTGTGCTGTCCCAAAGCCTCATTGCAATCTGAATGTTGAACACATAAAAGAAGCGCCAAAATTTATTGCAAAAGAATCCTTCTGAATCTTTTGAGTCTTGCAGCTGCTGCAGGCGCTGTGTTCTGAGATAGAGGCAGGATAGAGGGCCCCAAAATGCTTTCTACAGTACACAGCGTTCCACATGCCACGTGAAACTTGCCAAATCGATTGCACCGCAAGGAAGTCCGAATTATCTGTTTTACCGAATCGATTCCCATCTGTTTTTGTTTATTTTTGTCGTTCATTCGTTTGATTTGATTATTTGATTAGGCTCATTTTGCGTAGTTCTTCTGATTATCAATTCAGGCGAGCTCCACTGGAATCAGAATTGGTTCCGCCGATTCCATGAGATGGGTGCCGCTCCGCTCAATAAGCTATTCTGGCGTGGTTGCATGAATTGATAATCAGAAGAACTA